AGACAGACAGACAGACAGACAGACAGACAGACAGACAGACAGACAGATTTCCACACCATGATTTGGGGGACATTTCTAGAGTCTTGGTGTTATCCTAGGATCTTAGTGTTAAACAGAATCAAATGGAGATCACTGGTAAATGGATTAAATATTCTCTTTGGATTGATGGGGTCATACAAATTAAAAGTATTTCCTTTACTGTATCCAGCCACAAAGGTCCACATTCAGATGATGGAATCTGATTTCTCTTTATTACTTCCTTCTTGCCCTTTATTTTCTGAATTTAATAATCAGTGTAAACAACATATTTAACCAAATCAGCTTAAAATTATTCACACAAGAGCTAAAGTAATGCTATTTGGCTGTATTTGGTGACAAGTAATTAAATTATTGTACACAGTGTGTCATTTCTTTTTGCTATTTCAAGGTGTTTTTATATTGAAGGGTAGATTTAGTTAATAATATAATGCTCAACAGAAGTGACTTTGAATTGTTTTAAAGTTAGAAAACCTGTTCAGAATTGGAACAAATCCATGACCCTTTCTCAAGGAAAGTACAACAGCTTCATCAGGTGAGCATATAATTCTAAAGGATAAACAGAAGCAGAGAAGATGTTTTACACTGTGTTGTGAGCCACACCAATGCCTTCCATAGAAATAATACATAATTATTAACTTACTTTAAATGTTGAATACTTCAATTCAAAGTGATCTCTCCCATGATTTATTCTCAGAATTTTCAGTCTCAACTGAAAATTTACCCAAATGTTTTATTAGATTCAAAGTCCCCTTTGTTTTGCACAGCATACTTGGTTATACTATAAACTCCTTCTAGGGTTCCCTAAACACAAAAAATATCTGCCCTCCATCTGGCCAAATATAAGTCAGATTCTTAAGTGTTCACAGCAGATGCCAGAACTGCTAATCTACTGTAGGAATCATGTATGTTACTATAATAAAAATGCAGAATAATATTGCCCTTTATATTTTGTCTAGTTCTTTAACCATGGATATGTACTAAACCCCTAACACATGAAGGAAAATACCTATAGTTGAATGAAGAAGATGTTTTTTCTCCAGATTTTTTCTAAATATATTCCAATTTCACCTACCAAAAGTTTTCTATTATCAAAGATTAGCTGATGTAAATCAATATACATAGTAATAATAACATAACATTCCACTGATAGTTATCTTTATATCTTCTAAAACTCAGAACAAGGGACCTTAATGACCATGTAGTCTTGTTTCCACAAAATGATTTATGTGATACATTTATCTAAGCCAGTGTTAAAACAAATCATTCTCTGCCCCCAAAAATGCATATATCCAACATTAATAATTATTTTTCTCACCTATGTGTTGTGATTTCTAGGAAGCTCAGATTTAAATTTATTTGATAATTGCTGTAACTTTTAATTTTCTCAAATTTATACTTGGGTCATGATCCAAATTTTAATTTTAATTGTATTAGATTTCATGTAATGAATGCTAAACAATTACCAATTACTTTTTTAAAAGGCAGCATAAATATACATTATATATAAGCAAGTATAATAATAATTTTCAAAAGAGCATATCAAACTATCTCTTTAGATTTATGTAATTTATGCATGAAATACAAACTAGTTGCATTTTTCCTGGAAACATGAGTATGAAAACAAGTGAAGAACAGGTCTGTCTAAAAAATAAATAAGGGGCCTTGGGTAGAATAAGTGCTTGCCTGACAAGCACAATGGCCTGAATTTAATCCCCGGTTCCGCCAAAAGAAAAAAAAAAAAAAAAAAAAAAAAAAAAGCCTTGGCAGACATTGTAAGTGATTCATCCTAACTGCAATTCCTTGTGTTGCATTTTGGTTCCCGTC